TCCAGCTCTCAGGAGCAGTCTTCTTGCTGTTTTTCCAGCCTCCTCCTGTTGCCTATCCTTAAAGACAGTGCTACATTTTAGAACTTTATTTTTCCAGTATCTCACTTTTAACTACCAATTTGTTTCAGTTATCTATTGCTGCATATAAAACCACCCTAGGTGGTGAGCTCAACTGATTGGTACTGTGATGGCTGGTATGGTAAGTTGTCTCAAATTGCCATCCTCTCCCTGTAAGTGGGTGCTGTGCTCCACACTGGCCCTGTAAGTGCTTTTTTAATATTAGTATTTATATTATTTCATTTATTTTTTTGGGTAGGACTGGGGTTTGAACTCAGCTTCAGGCTTGAAAGCATGTGCTCTACCACTTGAGGCACACCTCCAGTCCATTTTGCTCTGGTTATTTTGGAGATGGGGTCTTCAAAACTATTTGCCCAGGCTGGTCTTGAACTCAGCCTCTCTAGTGGATAGAATTTACAGATGTGAGCCACTAGTGACTGGATTATTTTATTTTATTTTTGAACTAATGTACATTAAAATTACGAGGGAAATTTATTGTGATAATTCCATACACATGTACAGTATACCTTGAACAAGTTCATACCTTCCATTATTTTTCTACTCCTCTCACCATGACTGCCTTGATGTAATTAACAGTAGAAAGTTCAGGGACTTCTGAACCCAGCCTTAGGACTGAAAGCTTCAGCTTCCCCCTTCTTGGGGACCAGCCACGAGGTAATCATTCTTACTATCCTGAGACCATTGTGCTGTGTAGAACCCAAGCCAACCATGAAGAGAAGCCATAAGAGATATATGACCAGCCCTAGCCAAAGTGGTAGATGTATGAGTACAATGGACATCTTGGACATTCATTCCCCAGTAGATCACACCCAGAGTAGAAAAGCCTCCCAGCTGGGTCCAGCTCAGTTTTTAGTATAAATAATATATCAGGGTGGTTGGCTATGTCACAGTGGTGACCTCTGGCTGAAAGCCAGGGTCACTCATATAGTTGCAGTCATCTGGGGGGATGATTGAGGCTGGGTATCAGAGACAGCTCCACTCACATTCATGCCCTGGCATTCTCTCTCCCAGGATCTCTCTGCAGTGTAAACAGATACCTTTACCTCAGGCCTCAGGGCTCCTCTGAGCTGAGCCTGGAAGTGGCGTGGTATCTCCTTTATTGCAATTCTATCAGTTAAAGCAAGTTGCTGAGCCAGCCCACATTCAACAAAAAGGGACAGAACCCACTTCCGATAGGAGGAACACTGTGGATTTAAGGAATTTACTTAATAATTAAGAAGTTATTTAAAAAACTAACTTACTTAAGTAACTAAAGGGATTATGAACAGAAGTTCTCCCAGAAGCCACATCTTCTTGCAGCTTGCAGGCTGACCTGTTGAATGGAGAGATGGAATGTTGCAGTTATCTTGGGCTATCTATCTTTTGTCCCTTTTAATAGCCACTTACTATCAATCTCTGTATCTGACTACTAGACAAAATTCTTGGAATGTGTGCTAAGCTTGGCCCACTCTGGTCTCTGCCAACCCTAAAGCTAAGAATAGATAACATCTAGGTCCTGTGAAACATTTTCTCACCTTGTTAAGGACATCTGAGCCAAGCACTGGTGGCTCATGCCTGTAATACTAGCTACTTAGGAGGCAGAGATCAGGAGGATCCCAGTTGGTAGCCAGCCTGGGCAAAATAGTTCAGAAGACCCTATTTTGAAAATAACACAAAAAAGGGCTGGCAGAGTGTCTCAAGTGGTAGAGTGCCTGCCTAGCAAGTGTGAGGCCCTTAGTTCAAACCCCAGTACTCTCCCCCTGTAGCCCCCCCCACCCTGCGCCAAAGACATCTGAATCTTATAGACGAGATTTCCCCACCAGTTTGTAGTCCACCTACATTCCCTTCTGACTATAAAAGCTTCTGTAACCTCTTTCTTGAAGGAAGCATGTTGATCCTGGTAACTTGAGTTTGAATTTCTGGGGCATGGTCACCCATAACTGGCTTAGAACAAACTATTTTCTTATTTCAGAGTTGTTATTTTACATCTACAGGATGAAAGGAATTGTTGGTAGACATCTTTGAAGACCAACTAACAAGCCATAGGAGGGAGCTGCTGAAGTCAGGTAGGGAAATTTCTTGGAGGAGAGGCATCATGAGACAGAGGCTGTATTTTCTGATGCTTTGACATCTTGGAGCTATGCTAATTTTGGAGAGACGGTCCTTCCAGGACTAGCAGATTCCTAGAGATAGCAAATAACCTGCCTATGAATGTGTCCTTTTTATACAAACCAACCCCTCCAGAGCCCACAGCTCTGTTATCTGACACTCACATGCCAAGCCAGTGTTTTCCCTGCCCTGAACCACTCAGGGTCAGGCACCATAACCAGAGACCACTATGACAGCCCAGATCCTGCTGAAATTATTCAAGCCGAATAGTGCTAAGCTTGTTCCAGTTTACCATTCCTTTATTTGTGGAGAGCACAACAAAGGCCTGGGTCATGCTTTCTCTTGCTCCTGATAGGCTTGGCACTTCCCTTGTGGCTCTTCATGGCCTGGTGTGCCCCCACCCCACCTTGGTAACTGTGAGTGCTGTATTTTCATTGTCTTTCTCACCATACCTGACTGGAGCAAAGCCCAGGAGGTGGGAAGGAGTAGCGTAGTAACTTGGAGTTACTAAGAGTGCCTATAAGAGTGGAATTTCAGAAAATGATGGTAAGTCAGGCACTAGATCACCAGGAAATGAGGGACCTGGCTAGGGCTTGGCAGGAGACAGCAATGGAGAACGTGGTGGGTCAATATTCTGAGATCATGAGTTTTAAAGCTAGGAGCTTTTAGGTGGGGAACAGTCTGGAAGTGGTAATAAGGAGTCAGGAAGGACTCATCCTGCCTCCAGGTCCAGTGGTTGTTAAAGGAAATATTTACACTTGCAAGGCTCCCATGGAAGCTGGGTTTTAGTGCAAGAAACAGAATGGAGTATTCAAAGAACAGACTGAAGGCTGGGCCTCTGTTCTGAGGATGGATCTCAGAGGAATAGGGAATGGGTTGGAAGTGGAATCAGATAAAAAATGAGCAGAACTTCTTGGGAAACCCGGGGTAAAGGCCATCCAGGTCTGTCCCCATTGTTCTTCTTCAGCAGAATCCAACACAACACATCTCCCACTCTTTACTGAAATACTTTTCTCTTGACCTCTGTGAATATGGCATCTGGGAGCTAACCATTGTCCTCCCTTTTCATGTTGGCATTCCAAACTCCTTGTTCAGGAGTTCTGCCATTTGCATAGTCTTGGCAGGAAAGTGGGGAGCATGGCCAGCTAGACCCTCCCTTTTGGAACATGGGAATCTTGAGGAAGGCAGGTCCTGGGTCTAAGGATCTCTCTTCTCACCATGATACCCCTCTCTTTTTGTTAGAGAGAGTCGGATTAGGTTCTGGGTCATTTCCCCAGCTCTAACAACATCTAGCTCTGGCTTCAATTACCATCCACAAAACAGAGTTATCAAATCTTTAGCCTTTGACTCCCCTGCCTGCAGGTACCTAGTTGGTCTGGTGTCTAGGGCACCTGGGTATTGGCACGTCATGGTTCCCACTTCCAAAACAACTTGTATCTAGGCATCTTCTCCACCAAAAAGTGCCTCCTTCACCCACCTCCACATTTAACTAGGCAGCTGGGCCCGAGACATCTCTGGGCCACATGTAGCCCTCTCTCCTAGGCTGTCGTATGGTGACCCTCCTGTGTTGTGCTCCTGGGTACAGATGTTCCTAGATTTATGAGTGGTTTACATTCTGATAAAGCCATCATAAGGTAAAAAATGGAAAATACATGTGGACGTGGAGGCTCACACCTGTAATCCTAGCTAATCAGGAGGCAGAGATCAGGAGGATTGTGGTTCCAAGCCAGCCTAGGCAAACACACATCTAGTACAAAGCCTATTACATGAGTGAGTGTGTGTGTGTGTGTGTGTGTGTGTGTGAGTGTGTGTGTGAGTGTGTGTGTGGTGGGACTCAAACCTCGAGACTTGTGCATGCTAGGTAAGCACTTTACCACCGAAGTACATCCCCAGCTCACAAAACTTATTTTGTAATAATGTGTTAAATATCTTATACAATTTATTCAATACTGAACCAAACCTGAAAAACCGAAGCATCGCCTAGGTAGGCTTTAGCATCATATTAAAATGGAACAAGCATTTTAAGTTAAGGATATCTGTATTTAAGCACACACACACATACACACACACACAGAGTTCACGTTCCACAAAGGGACCTTTTTAAAAACGCGAGTCAGAATATGTTCATCCTGGTCTTTGCATCATCGGCACCCCAGCCCCGCGCCCTGCCGCTGGAAGCTTGGTCCTCAGCAGCATCCGACATAACACAGCAGGATGCGCACGGCTCAGCACCGTCTTCCACACACCGCTCCCTCGGGACTCGAACTCCCAGGAAGCGCGCCGCACGGCGCAGGGATGCAGGGTGCAGTGCTGGGTTGGAGACCGGCACCCCCTGAGCGCCGAGCACCCGGTCCACTCTCCGGGCCCCTCGCGACCTCCTTTCATGTAGGGGCCCGAGGTACGGGAGACCCAGTTTGGGCAGGAGGGAGGCAAAGGGCCCCGCTGGGGCTGAGCTCCGCGAGAAACCAGCGTCCGCGCTCAGAGCGTGTCCTATCCGAGCGCTGGGAAGGGGGAGCCCGCCCGTCCGCCGGGCCCCCGGAGACAGGTGAAGAGTGGGCCGCACCTCCCTCCGGCAGGAGCTCCGGTGTGGCGGGTCGTTCGTTCTAGCAGCCCCAGCACTGCGAGGCCCACGCCGCAGGTAACCTCGGACCGATGTCGGGCAGGGGTGCCGGGCCTGGGGACGGGGTCTGGGGAGGGGCCCGGTCCTTGAGGTAGGGCTCGGGGCGGATGGGCCGGGAGGGGCACAGGTCGGGCGCAGAGCCGGGGCCTGGGGGGCGGAGTCTGGGGAGGGGCCGGGTTCTCGGGCTGGGGGGCGGATCCTCGGGCCGGGGGCGGGCTTCCGAGCGGCGGCCCCGGAGGGCGTCAGTTCGCCGCGCGGGAGGCCGCGGCATGGGGCGGGTGCAGCTCTTCGAGATCCGCCTGAGCCACGGCCGTGCAGTCTACAGCCCCGGGGAGCCGCTGGCCGGGGCCGTGCGCGTGCGCCTGGGGGCGCCGCTGTCATTCCGAGGTGGGCGCGGGGTCGCCTCGGGGGAGGGCGGTGGTGGCGCCCGCACCTTCGGCGGAGCCGGGCTCCCGGAAGTGCGGCAGTTCCCGGACTCCGGGGCTGGGTCCGCGGAGTCTCCGGCGACCCTCGCGGGCTGTAGGAGAGCTGGGCGGGGTCGCAGACCCGGCGGGGTGGGTGGCCGACGGGGGCTAGGGCGGGGCAGGCAGGCTCGGTTGCTCAATCCTTCCTCATCTGCCAATCCTGTTCTCTCCGCCTAGAGGCGGCCAGAGTCCGGGCGAGGGCCTAGCGCCTGCCCACCTTGCCGAGACGGTCTTGACGGTGGACGCACACGGGCCTCCTGCCTTCCCCGTCCAGGTGCCCGGGGTCCGCTGCGCTCCGCACCTGTGGGCCCTTCCCTGGAACCTAGTGCACGCTCGGCCCTTTACTATCCCCCCGCGTTCCCTCCCCCGCCTTCTCCTCAGGCTCCTGAGCATCCCTCTCCAGACGCATCCCGGCCCGCCGGAATGTGCAGGTTCCCAGCAGGGTCCACCAGGCACCTGCTTGCCTTTCTCCTGAGGCTTGCCCTTTCTGGCAGGGAGGGACCAGCTTGTCTCAGCATTCCCACATCCCAACCCAGTGGGCCTCTGGGAGCTGAGCTTGAGCCCTCTGCTGTTGCGGACATCTGGGACTTTGGGGCTGGGAATCAGGTTGCTGCTGTGCCATTGATAGGGCATTCTGCAGGTGCGGGGCCTCCTCCGCCTGATGAGGTATGGCTGCCTCCAGGGGACAGAACCCTCCGGGTGGGGTGGACAGTGGTCTCTGCCTGGCCCCTGACTTTGAGTGCAAGGTTGTGTGGGTGTCCTTGCCACGTGTTCTCAACCTTTTGCCTCTTGTGAGAGCCACCTGGCTGACCTCTTCCCTCTGGACCTGACCCCTAGGCCTCTGCCTTGTTGGCTGGTGAGGATGGAGAGCCACCATCCTCTTCTTGGCCATCCTGGACCCCAACCTTGACGCAGTTTGAGGCTGTCATGGGTAGGAGGAAGCTGGGTTGTAGGTGCCTTTATCAGGTTCTGGTCTTGTTGAGGTTCCTGGTAATGGCCCTTTTGGAGTTTGGGGCTTGGGTGGGGGCAAATTGGTTATTGCAGGGGTGACAGGTCAGCTCCCCTAGGCACAAGGTAATTGTGAGAGGTAGCAGGAGATTCCAGCTTGACCAAGACCATAAAGCAGGCCTGTGGGCTGGGAGTCACAATGGACCAAAAACAGGCCCTATGGAGAGCGTGTCACCTGGGTTGTTTGTTCTGTTTTCCCTCCCTGTATGGGCTTGGGGTGAGCAGGCAATTGCCAACCACAGTGACAAGATGGGTTAAGTACCTTGGCCTCCCTGTGGCAGATAGAGGTGGGTGAATGAAGAGCTGGCCCGATGCAGCCAAAGAATCCTCAGAGATTGGTCCTAGTTAGTTGTAAAAGTGCCTAGAAATCATAGGCTAGCTGGGCATTGGTGGCTCACACCTGTAATCCCAGCTATTCAGGAGGCAGAAATCAGGATGATCACCATTCGAAGCCAGCCCGGACAAATAGTTCGCCAGACCTATCTCAAAAACCCTTCACAAAATAGGGCTGGTGGAATGGGTCAAGGTATAGGCCCTGAGTTGAAGCCCCAATACTGCAAAAACAAAACAAAACAAAACAAAAAAACCACCATAGGCTGGGGTTGGAGGGTTGATAATGCAGGTTGCTGGAGGGGAGGCGGCATGTATGCAAGGGCCCCCCCAGCTGTCTGGGACAGGAAAGAAGGACCATAGTTCATTTTCCCCTTCATTCAAAGGATGCTTGTTCAGGTTCTGCTGGACCCAGTAGGTGCAGCAGGGAGGCTCTGCATTCCCCAGGAGGATATCAGCCCTGCCCTTGGGTTCCTAGTCTTGCTCACTGAATACTTATCCAGTGAGTGACAGTGATGGTCAGTGATGATCAGCCAGGCGGATACTGGCTGCCTAAGAGCTGATGCAGAGGAGAGGTGAGGAAGGAACAGTTAGTTTTCTGGTGCCTGTGGCAGGGCCACACTCTATCTTGCCCTTATGGCTCACTGTGTTCCCTCATTATTGGCCAGATGTCTGTCTCCCCACTTGCCTTGGACCAGCTCTGTCCTCATAACACCTGAGAGGTGACCACTCTTCTTACTCTGTGGTACAATTTGGAAGCAGGACAGGTGTAGCTTTAGTGGGAGGATATAGCAAAGACTGGGTTGCCCCCATTTTGTGGGAGCTGGTAGGAGTGGGTCAAGTTGGAGAACTTTTTCTTTCCCTTTCTTTTTTTTGTTTTTGAACTCATGGCTTTGTGTTTGCCAAGCAGTCACTCTACCATTTGAGCCACACCCCCAGTCCAGGAGTGCTTTGGGACCAGGAGAGGGATCAGTGGAGGTCTTCATGGTTAGAGTGCAGGGGTGTATGGGAGGGAGCTGCCGGACAGGTAGGAGTGTCCATGTGGGAAGAAAGTTCCAGAAGTTGCTGTGGAACACAACCCACATCATGATTGTTCCATACCTTCAGTGGTGGGTACCTGTCAGTTTGGTTTCTACCTTTGTTATGGCTCTGAACACTGTCAGGAAGCATTTTTTTTTTTTATAACTAGATGGCACCTCACAGTGTGCGCTGTTCTGCAGCCTGCCACTTGGTGCTCTGTGCTGGAGGCTTTGCTAGAACACACCTGCCCAGTCTGTGACCATGCTGCAGGGCACATACATGCTGGTGGGAGTGCTATGCTTGCCTCTAAGAGTAGATTCTTCTGTGTGGGGGAGAAGGGAGAGACTGCTAGGACACTACAAACAAGCAGCTGAAATGTTAAAAACCAGAAGGTGGAGGAAATCAGGGTCTCTAATCAGGTGACTGCCACCAAGCTGCCCAGTCCTGTCATCATAAGCATCTGCAGGCTGGGAAAGAAGGGGAGTCATGCCTGCATGCCTCTCCAGCAGCAAGGAGGCCCTCACTTCTTAGGCGGAAGTGCATCCTGTGCTCCTACCTGCCTGACTCACTGATGTGAGAAGGCCAACACCCGACTGTGGCCACTGGCCTTGACTAGTGAACACTGGCTCCCTGTGGAATTCTCCCAGCCTGACCTGTGACCCTGCTTTGAGGCAAAGGAGCAGGCTCAAGTATTTTGCTGTCTGCAAGCCTTGTGCCTCCACCCTTTCTGCTGTGAGAGTGGGCGAGATAGGACTGGTTCAACTCCTACAGTGGCGGTGCTGGCAAGGTCCTCACAGGAGCCCTGGTGTGTGCAAAATGCCTAGCATTGGGAAGATCACAGAGCCTGGGTCATGCTGACTTGGATACTCTTTGTTTTTCTGGAGTCTGGTGGCTCCATGCTCCTTCTTCTGGTGGTATAGGTGGGGTGCTTGACTGTTTCAGAGAGGCCTAGGCTGATTGCTGTAAGGAGGAGTGCTATGACAGGTTCTTGGTGAAATAGCACGGAACTTGAGGAGGGCTGCTGGGTATCCTGGCACATGCAAGTGAAATCACTGCGTCTGCCCTGAATCAGCTGACAGTTGGTCAGTGTAAGGCGTATCTGGTTTCCTATCTCTTCTCCAACGTGGGTCAAAGTACTTAATATTTCCCATCTGATGGGTTAAAATATAAATCATTGGGTTTTCCCTGATTTCAGGTGAGGATGGATATCTGTTCTACTTATACACTGGTATGTAAAAGTCACTCAAATAACAAACCGCCCCTTAAGTAAATAGCTAAAGCAACCATTTCGTTATAGCATACAACATTTCAGGGTTAGGAATTTGAACAGCTCTGTGTCAGTGACTAGGGGCACCTGACAGCACTTGGGTGGCACCTAGGCTAGGCTGGGACCTCTGTACCCCACTATTCTGAGTGGGGCCCAGTGTCCACAGGGCTGCAGGATTCAGGGGGGATGCACCCTTTCCACAAGGGGGTGTGAAAATACAGTGTCTCAAGCTCCCCCCAACATATTTGCTCTGAGTCTGTTCTTGCCCCTGCCTTCCCCAGGTGTGTTTGCTGGCCTGTAGGTGACTCTGGTGTCCAGATTTCCATGGTAGGAATAGTTGGTGGTCTGGCCTGAGAAGTCATGGCAAAAGGATTCTAAACCAGAGCTGAGGTCTGGGTGATGAGGCTGGGCTGGAAGGGAGGCCAAGAGCCAGTCACTGGCAGTGCCAAGGAGCAGAGAGTAGGCAGCAAGGAACTCCCCACAGGAGTGGGGGATGAGGGCTTGGCAACAGTCAAGGGAGGGGGAGGGATTTGTGTGGAGAGCCACTCGAGGTTGAGGACAAGTCAAAGGCTTATGGGAGGAAGCCCAGTGTTGTGTATGACCCACTGACAGGAGGCCTGGGCCACAGGGCAGGGAGACAGCAGGTTAGGCAGGTGTGGCTGACCCCTGGGCACTTAGGACACCTGTGTTCCTCCTGCCAGATGACTTTGTCACAAAGATGTCAGAGTCTGAGTAATCTTCCCCTCACATGACCCTGTCAAGTCTGGGAGGACCAGGAAGGGTAGAAGTCATGACCCAGCCCTGCAGGAGGGGGTTGGAGCTTTAGGGTGCCTGTCGCTAGTTCCCACCTGACTCTCTCTGGGTCTTCTGTTGTAGTGTGATATTCTTGGGTCAGTTCTCCCTTGTGATCAGCTTCGGCTTGGCCTTGTCCAACCATGGCTGCCTGACCACAGTGGGTTCTGGACACTCCTGCTGGACTGAGGAATCTGAGCTTTGTCTCCAGTGGTCTCTGGTGTGGGCACTCCCACTGGTGAGGGATGATTGAATCATCTCATGGTATAGAAAGTCAGCCTCCTGAGCACTGCTGCCCAGGAAGTCAGGGCCCCGCCTTACAGTGTCAGACTGTTTACCTGCCTGGGCAGGTCTGACCACATTCCTGCAGCAGGAGAACTGGCAGTTAGCTTCCTGGAGCCTAAAGGGGCACTTCCCTGCTAACTGCTTGCAGCACAAATTTGGGTGTCAATGGTGCCCAAGCATCTTCCGTGAGGGCTGGGTTTTCATAGGTTTGGTTAGGACCCAAGATTACCAATTTCGGGAGATAGCCTAGGGTTATTTGAGACAGAAGTGTTCCCTCACTCCCACGGTGGATTGCAGGACAGATGAAACTGCTTGTCAGTTTCCTTGCCAGGCTGGCTCCCTAGGAGTACCCCAAAATGAGGAATGGCCACATTGGGAAGGTGGCAGGCTGCTTGCCACCTAGCTATCCTGGGCCCTGTGAGGGTTGGGCTGCTTGGCCACTGGGTGCTGCCACCTCTGCTTGAATTCCTGTGCTGGGAATAGAGAGTGGCCCAGGCCATCAGCTGGTTGGGGCTCATGCTGTCCTCCTCCTTGCAGCCATCCGGGTGACCTGCACAGGTTCCTGTGGGGTTTCCAACAAGGCCAATGATGGGGCATGGGTGGTGGAGGAAAGCTACTTCAACAGCTCTCTGTCACTGGCTGACAAGGGTGAGTCTAGGAACCAGTCCCCCACCCCTCCAAGCCACAACCCCTGGGATAGCTCTTGCCTGGAGTGGGGCCTGTCTGTCCCCACTCCCTTTCCCACAACTGCCTCTTGGATCCCTGTGCTTGCTCACCCTCCGGTACTGGCTCTGGGTCATGGTGTGACTGTTTCAACCCTGTCCTCCACCCCAAACCTCTCTCTTGTTTGACCCTTTGTCCTTGCCTGGCCCTTTGGCCACAATAGGCCTCCTGAGGCCTGACTGCACCTCCCTCTTGTCTCTACAGGGAGCTTGCCAGCTGGAGAGCACAGTTTTCCCTTCCAGTTCCTGCTTCCCTGTGAGTGGATGGCCTGTGGGAACAGCAACACTGGGAGGGAGGGTTTGCAGGTATCAGGTGCCTGGTACCAGTCTCTGCTATCTCTACAGCCACAGCGCCCACATCCTTCGAGGGACCTTTTGGGAGGATTGTTCACCAGGTCAGGGCCACTATCGACACCCCACGTTTTTCTAAGGATCACAAGTGCAGCCTCGTTTTCTATATCCTGAGCCCCCTGAACCTGAACAGCATCCCAGACATTGAGGTGAGGATGGAACAGGGGCCTCACTGGTGGCCCCCAACCCTCCAGGTGAGGGGAGCCAGGGTCTGGAAGTAGCAGCTCTGGCCTGAGCCAGCTGCTGGTGACCAGAGCAGGCTGAAGTCCTGTCCCAAAGCCACAGGGATCCAGTCTGTGCTGTCTTGATAAACCCTCCCCCTTTCCTCCTTCAAGCAACCCAATGTGGCCTCCACCACCAAGAAGTTCTCCTACAAGCTGGTGAAGACAGGCAGTGTGGTCCTCACTGCTAGCACTGACCTCCGTGGCTACGTGGTGGGGCAGGTGCTGCGGCTGCAGGCTGACATTGAGAACCAGTCAGGCAAGGACACTGGCCCTGTGGTGGCCAGTCTGCTGCAGGTCAGAGCCCACTCCAGTTGCTCATGCCTGTCCCCATGGAACAGCAGAAGATGTGGGTTGCCAACATGCCCAGGCTCACAGGCTGGTCTTTTTTCAGAAAGTGTCCTATAAAGCCAAGCGCTGGATCTACGACATACGGACCATTGCAGAGGTAGAGGGTGCAGGTGTCAAGGCCTGGAGACGTGCTCAATGGCAGGAGCAGATCCTGGTGCCTGCCTTGCCCCAGTCAGCCCTGCCGGGTTGCAGCCTCATACACATTGACTACTATCTGCAGGTTTGGTGTTGCTTGGGGCCGGGTGGCCTGAGGCTGGGTGGCTTTGGCTCTAACTCCTCACCACCCTAATTCTCCCCAGGTCTCCATGAAGGCACCTGAAGCCACCGTGACCCTCCCAGTCTTTGTTGGCAATATTGCTGTGAACCATGCCCCGCTGAGCCCCCTGCCAGGCCCAGGATCACCTCTTGGGGCCTTTTCCCCTGTGGTACCCTCTGCGCCACCTGAGGAGGCTGAGGCTGTGGCTGGTGCCTCCCATCTCTCAAACCCAGTCTCTCTCTCTACCAAGAGCCACTCCCAGCAGCAGCCATTGTCTGCTGCCTTGGGTTCTGTGCCTGTTGCCCCTGAGTCCTGTGCTCAGGATGGCATCCTTGCTCCCCACTCCCTGCACCCTCCTTTGTGCGTCTCTACAGGTGCTACTGTCCCCTACTTTGCAGAGGGCTCCGGGGGTCCAGTGCCCACCACTAGCACCTTGATCCTGCCCCCAGAGTACAGCTCATGGGGCTACCCTTATGGTGAGTAGAAATGACAGGCCCTGGGGAGGAGGGGAAGACTGCTACCAGGCTCTTGCAGAACCCTCTGTTTCCCCACAGAGGCCCCACCGTCCTATGAGCAGAGCTGTGGTGGCGGTACTGATGCTGGCCTGACCCTCGAGAGCTGACCCTTGAGAGCTGACCCTATGCTGCCTTCTCCGGCGGGCCTGGCCTCTGCCCTGGGATGGGGCACCCAGGGCCTCGTGCCTTTGCTGTGGCCCGGCCACTCAGGATCAGGACCCGCAGCTGCCGGGATCACCTCCCCTGCAGACCAACCTCTCCCAGCTTCTTGGAGCCAGCCCTCTTCTCCCAGGGCTTGGGTGGGGGCGGCAGGGAACTGGGACCTGGAGAGACTGTAAATAAAGCGCTTTATTTGTAGAGTTGGGCAGAGGCCAGCGGGCTAGCCCTCCAAGCTTGACTTGGGCGGACCCTGTGGGGTGCTCATCCTGGCCTCACAATGTGGTCGTCAGACACGCCTCCAAGTGCTCCTCCCCACGACTCCCTCCCCTTGGTCTGCCCCACCCATGTAGGTCACAGCTCTGCTTACTAAGGCTCTGCTGTTTGGTGGTACCTTCCTCACCGCCTTCCCCTCAGCTCCTCTCCTGGGATGCCTGGGTGGAGCTGTGCTGACCTCTCCCTGGTCAGCTTATGGACGTGCCCTGGGAGCCAACCAGTGCACCTGGAGCCCTGGAGTCCTGTTTCATTTCATAGCACACTCTGGCTTGTCGGCCTGCTTCCATCTTTCCAGGCAGTGCAATTTGGATGTCCTGCCCCCGAGGAAATTCATGGGGAGAGGCTTGCCAGGTCCCTGCTTGCAGCAGAATCGTCTCCCATTAGGACTGGGGTCAGTGCCAGTGTTGTCCCTCCCTGCCTACTCAGGCCAAGCACACAAGCCTGAGGGAACTAGGACAAGATAGAAAGGCAGGGTTCTGTGAGCAGCATTTCCCAGAGGGGTACCCTGCTGACGCCCTAGTGTAGTCACGAAGGAGGGTCCAGGAGCAAGCACTTGACCACCATCCTGCACTGGCAAGGTGCACACTGGAGGTGGTTAAGGTACAGGTGGCCAAATACCATCTCACGTGGACGGGCGACTATGCTGTGTGACTGCCACTTTGGCTGTGTATGTAACCAGTTCACTGACTCTTTGGGGACAAATCACATGTCCCCTTCCTCTGCACGAGAGAAGGGCAGACCCAGGGCTATGCACATGCAGTATTACCATACTGTGGTTTCTACCCTGAGCCTGAGGTTGCTGTCCACTCTTTACAATACCCAGTCTACGAGGCCTTCGCTCCAGCATCGAAGGGGCAGATTGGAAGTGGGTGGTGTCTTGCACACACACCATTGGCTACCCCTTCCTTGACTTGGCAACATGCTCTTTCATCAGGCAACTACAAACCTGGCTAGCATTTTACTCTGTGGAACAAGGGAAAGATGAATATTGGAGAAAAGCAGAATGTAGGCTGCGGGTGTGATAGTCTGTAAACACCTTCTCGAAGCAGTGCAGCCTCATGGTTGAAAGGAAAACTTGATGGGCTTGGAATCCCTCCTCCTCTGGAGCACAGCATAACCTTTGCAGGCACTCAGCTCCCTTATTTCAGTTTACTCACTTATAAAATGTGGATGGGACCAGGTGCCGATGGATCACGCCTGCAATCCTAGCTATTCAGGAGTCAGATCAGGAGGATTGAGGTTCGAAGCCAGCCTCAGGTAAATAGAGACCCTATCTCGAAAAAACCCATCACAATAAAGAGCTGGAGAAATGGCTCAAGTGGTAAGAGTACCTCCATAGCAAGTGTGAGGCCCTGAGTTCAAACCCCAGTACCACCAAGAATAAATAAAATGTGGATGGGAGCAGGGTGTGCTGATGCATGCTTATAGTGTGTCAGCTATCGGGACAAAGCTCCTGATACAATCCGTTGTCCAATTTAAAAACAACCAAGATGGGAACCAATGGCTCACACCTGTAATCCTAGCTACTTGGGAAGCTGAGATCTGAAGGATTGCAAATTGAGGCCAGCCTGGACAAATAGTTTGAGAGACTCCATCGCCAAAACAACCAGACCAAAATGGACTGGAGGTGTGGCTCAAGTGATAGAGAGCCTGCTTTGTAAGCATGAAGTCCTGAGTTCAAACCCCAGTGCCACTTAAAAAAAAGGCAAAAAAACCAAAATACCAAAAAAAAAAAAACACAAAAGAAGATTCTGGCTGGCAAATGAAAGTGGGAATGGAAGGGCTGCCTATAACCTACTTCTGACATGTTCATTAACATATTTACCTGGTAAAGGGTTTCCTCCCATGCTTTAATTCCTTCACATACTCATTTAACAAATACTTATTTTGTCTTCTATATGCCAGAAGTATTGTTCTAGGCACTAGGGCACACAGTGAACTTCCATCTTAGTGGGAAGACAAAATGTGCCAAGTAAGGGTGTAGGAGAGACAGATGATACACAAGGCTATGGAGCAAAATAAAGCAAGAAAGACAGGTGAAGAGTGGGAAGGAGGAGAGAGAAGTCCTCTCTGAAGAGATGATATTTAAGACATAAGGACCGTAAAGCAAGTTATACAGATATCTGAGATAAGAGGTTTCATGGAGGGACAGACAAGACCCCAAGTCACATGTGGAGATGGAGAGGTGGGTGTGAAGGAAGGTGGGTCAGGCTGGGCCATGCAGGCCACAGAGGACTGTAGACTGACTACTCCTGTACCTTCTAGGAGGGTTCAAGTCCCCAACCAGCCATAAGCTTGTTTAGCCTTTGACAGAGTAGTTCAACTGCCATGAGGAAACCTGGGATGGCACTCAGGGCTGTCCATTTCCTCTTATCTGTGTGTATCCACAGTGCCAGACTTAGCAGAGTCATCTTCTAAAGTCTGTCTCCCATGAGACTGAGTCCAAACTGGTGGTAGAGACTCAAGGCTTCCTTAGTTCTTGTCAGTGAGAACCTCAATTTCACTCTGCTTTTTCCCTCAAGTCCTGGGACTGAAATAGGTCTGGGCCAAAGAGAGCAGATAGCCTTAAGGTGGTTCATGTGGTGCTAAGCACTCTGTCCAGAGGGCTGCCTGGTCCACAGGAAAGGCCTCAGGCTGTACTTAGCATGTACCTGGAGAGCACAGATTCTACCTGGAGCACCCCCAGGCAGCATCTCCGCATGTGGGGAACCTCCCCCATCAGGACACCTTTTCCCACTGGGACAAAGCCTCTGGCCAGACACACCTTCCCAGCCAGAGTATCCATTCCTGATCAGAGCTCCTGTCCTAACCAGGATACTTCCCAACCAGAGCACGCCTTCCTGTTGGAATAGCCTCCTCCTACAGCTGGAGTTTCCTCCCAGTGGCATAGCCCCACTAACTGTACACTCTTCCAACAATATATGGGCACATTTCCTACCAGAACACCCCATAAGGACGGACATGCCCCTAACTGGGATTCCCTCCTCTCAGCAGGGCCATTCCTAACCAAGGGACACCCCTTCCTGGAGCCTTCCTCTAACCAGAGCACTTTTCTCTGTCGGCATACTCCATAAACAGAGAACCCCTTAGCTGGGATCTCCCAGTCCAGGCATCCTCCAGGACACAATGCAGGGTGTCTGCCTTCTGTGAAAGCCAAGGAAATCAAAATGTATCTGGGGTTAGAGGTCAGGATTCAAAGCCTTGGGTTCTTCACTCCACGAGAATGCCAATTTAGAACAACTGAATATAGCCGTCCCCTCATCAGCAGGGGGTATGTCCTAAAAACTACAGTGGATGCCCCAAGCTGCACATAGTTCTCTCTCTCTCTCTCTCTCTATATATATATATAGATACGATAGTTTGATTTATAAATTAGGCACAGGAAGAGATTGACAACACTGATAACAAAGTAGAACAACTATAACAAGATATTGTAATAAAATTATGTGAATGTGGCCTTCCTTATTCTTGAACTATCTTATTGTTCTGTGCTCACCCTTATGGTGATGCAAAAAGATGTTGTAATGCTAATGTGAAAAGATGAGCTAGGTGAATGATGTGGGACTAGACTACTATTGACCTGATCTTAGGAGAAACAGCTGCTTTAGATGATCCTAGTCCACTGTGCCATGACAATGTCAGTTTCGATGTCAGGAGAAGATGAGGTAAATATCTGGGGATGCTTGTTTACTGAAATCTTTTAGAATTTTTTTTTTTTTTTGCAGTACTAGGGTTTGAACTCAGGGCCTACACCCTGAGCCACTCCACGAGCCCTTTTTTGTGATGAATTTTTTGAGATACGGTCTGTGAATGATTTGTCCCAGGGTTGTCTTCAAACCCTGATCCTCCTGCTCCCTGTCCCTCAAGTAGCTAGGATTATAGGCATGAGCCTGTATCTTTTTCACTTATCAAAGTCTTGCAGCAGAGGTGTGTGACGATATAGATGACTTTATTCTTTTTAAACTTTTTTTTTTCTCAAGACAGGGTCTCTTTATTTAGCCAGGCTGGCCTAGAACTTACAATCCTCCTGCCTCAGTCTCCTAAGTGCTGAGATTACAGCTTTGCAACACCATGCCTGGCCACACAGGTGACTTTAATGCTGCGTTCCATCTGAGGATCGTGTCCCGTAATTTTGTTCTTTAATGGTCTGTACAATTTGAAACACTGCACCAGAATTCGGTAATGTCCACATTTCTGGTTCTGCTTCAGTTTCTCTGTCTTCCTCTACAGATGACTTAAGCTCTTCCTTAAGAGCAGTTTCTTCATCAGTAGCAGCCTTTGTGGTAATTTTTATGTTTTTTTAGTCTTGAATCTGTGTAACAATTCCTCACTTGGACTGAATGGCTTGGCACTCCTGGTTTCAGGGGCTTCCTTGCAGAAGTCTTCATGTCTTAATGAAGCTTAATGCTTTCTTACACAACACGCGGTTCTGTTCATTTTCTTCTACACAGAAATTGAGTTCCTTTTTCATCCATTCCTTCCTTCCTTTCTCCCCTCCTTCCAGTAGTGGGTTTGAACTCAAGGCCTCAGTTGTACCACTTGAGCATGGCCCCTGTCCAGCCCAGCCGAGCATTTTCCATCTTGACACTTACCACACATCGTAGCTGCAACTTTCGCAGTGTGAGGTATTCCAGCAGAACCAGCAACAATTGTTTTCCTTATTCCAAATTTCACGGAAGATGCGTTCTTACTGTGACTCTTAGCAACCTCAGCATACGACGCTTTACTTTCCTCATTAAGTTGGGAGCTCCCACCTGCTTTTAACATATCTCTTCGAGAATCGCCAGGATCACCACTCTTGCGCTTTGGGGCGCTTATTAAGAAGTCGAACATGGGTTACTGGAGCGAGCTCTGAGGTTCCACTTCCGCTGTGTTACGCTCGCCGGGGGACGAAGGCCAACAAGTGGGTATACCGCACATGCAGCGTGGACACGCCGGAGAAAGGGAGGACCCACACCCTGGCGGAACCAAGCAGCGACAGCTGCTCAGAGAGGCGCGCAGTTTAAAACCTGAGATTA